TGCTGATGTCTTTTGTCTGTCTCTAAATATGCAAGATACGGCATGTCTTGCTACTTCTACTTACATTAGGTCACACTACACATCATATACACATTTATTCATACACACTCATCTGGTTTTCTTTAAATTTTATTTTAATAGTTCTTGGTCTTATTAATTTCCTTTTATATCCATGGGGAAGTGGAAAAAAGAATCTTTCCTCCGTAAGCCATGCGTGTTGTAAAAGTCAACTAAAAATGCCGGAAACAATGGGCAAGTAACCCTTTTCTGTAAAGATTACTAAAAAGAATAAGAAGAAGAAAATTTGTCCAAAGTGGGAAGTCTGAATGTGCGTGGATGTTGTGCAATGATAAGAAGGGAGATGATTGGGGGGTTATAATGAGAGAAGCTGGATGTCCTGGCTTTAAGGAACAAGTGAAGGGGGTGGGGAGAGTTTCAATGGAGAGGAAAAATGGGTTTAGGTCAGGGGTTAAAATAGAGTTAGAGCTAAAGAAGGAGTAGGCAATAAGTTTGAAGGGGATAAGCTATTGGCAGGAAAGAGGGACTATAAATGATTAAATTCAAGGATAGGGAGTAAAATAAAGAGGATGTGAAAGGGGTTATAATAAGCTTTGTATGCACCTGGAGAAGAGAGAAGTGTAAGGAGAGAGAGAGTTTTTGGGAAATGTTGAGTGAAGGGCGTGGGGAGTTTTGATCAAGTGTGAGAGTATGGTGGTTGGGGATTTTCAATGCTAAAGTGGGTAAAAATGTTATGGGGGGAAAGTAGTAGGAAAATTTGGGGTCCAGGGGTAAATGTAAATGGGGAGCCTTTAATTGAGCTATGTGTAGAAAGAAATTTGGTAAAAAAGAAATTTACATATTTTATGAAAAAGAGGATAAATAAATATACGAGGTATGATGTAGACACGTAATGAAAGTAGTTTATTAGATTATGTATTGGGTTTAAAAGGTTGATGGGTAGGCTCCAGGATGTACATGTTTATAGAGGGGCAACTGATATATGGGATCATTATTTAGTTGTGCTACAGTTAGAGTAAGAGGTAGATGGGAAAAGAGGAAGGTGGCAACAACAAGTAAGAGGGAGGTGAAAGTGTATAAACTAAGGGAAAGGGGGAATTTTTCGGGCGAGATATAAGCGACTATTGGCAGAAAGGTGGGATAGTGCAAAGATGAGTAATGGGGGGGTTTGAAGAGGGTTGGAATAGTTTTAAAAATGCAGTATTAGAATGTGGGGCAGAAGTTTGGGGTTTTATAGGAGGGTGGGTGCAGGAGGAAAGAGGATGATTGGTGGAATGATGAAGTAAAGGGTGTGATAAAGAGAAAAAGGTAGCTTATGAGAGGTTTTTACAAAGCAAAGTGTTATAAGAAGAGCAGAATATATGGAGAGTAAAAGAAAGGTAAAGAGAGGGGTGAGAGAGTGCAAAAGGAGAGCAGATGATAGATGGGAGAGGGCACTGTCAAAAAATTTTTTAATGAAAATAAGAAAAAAATTTTGGAGTGAGTTAAACAAGTTAAGAAAGCCAAGGAAAAATATGGATTTGTCATTTTAAAAACAGAGTAGGGGAGTTAGAAAGATGGGGAGATGGAGGTATTAGGTAGATGGCGAGAAATATTTTGGGGAACTTTTAAATGTTAAGGAGAAACAGAGGCAGTAATTTCATGCACTGGTCGGGGAGGTATACCATCTTTTGGGAGTGAAGAAGAGCAGAATGTAAGTGTGGGGGAGGTACGTGAGGCATTACGTAAAATGAAAGGGGTAAAGCAGCTGGTACTGATGGGATCATGACAAAAATGTTAAAAGCAGGGGGGGATATAGTGTTGGAGTGGTTGGTACTTTTGTTTTAATAAATGTATGAAAGAGGGAAAGGAAGGGTACCTAGGGATGGCGGGAGAAGGGGAGGGGGGTAAGTCCTTTATATAAAGGGAAAGGGGAAAAAAGAGACTGTAAAAAAATTAAGAGGAATAAGCTTACTGAGTTATACCAGGAAAAGTGACGGTTTGGGTTATAATTGAAAGAATTAGAAAGGTAAGACAGAATGTTTGGATTGCGGATGAGCAAGGAGGTTTCAGAGTGGGGAGGGGATGTTTTAGATCAAGTGTTTACATTGAAGCATATATGTGAACAGTATTTGATAAAGGTAGGGAAGTTTTTATTGCATTTATTTGGGTTTAGAAAAGGGATATGATAGAGTGGATAGAGGAGCAATGTGGCAGATGTTGCAAGTATATGGAATAGGTGGTAAGTTATTAAATGCTGTAAAGAGTTTTTATGAAGATAGTGAGGCTCAGGTTAGGGTGTGTAGAAGAGAGGGAGACTATTTCCCGGGAAAAGTAGGTCTTAGACAGGGATGTGTAATGTCACCATGGTTGTTTAAAATTTAATTTATAGATGGGGTTTGTTAAGGAAGTAAAAGCTAGGGTGTTTGGGAGAGGGGTGGGATTAAATTATGGGGAATCAAATTCAAAATGGGAATTGAACAGTTACTTTTTGCTGATGATACTGTGCTTATGGGAGATTCTAAAGAAAATTGCAAAGGTTAGTGGATTGAGTTTGGGGGAAAGTGTTAAAGGTAGAAAGTTGAAAAATGAACATAGAAAAGAGTAAGGTGATGAGGGTGTCAAATGATTTAGATAAAGAAAAATTGGATATCAAATTGGGGGGGAGGAGTATGGAAGAAGTGAATGTTTTCAGATACTTGGGAGTTGACGTGTCGGCGGATGGATTTTGAAGGATGAGGTTAATCATAGAATTGATGAGGGAAAAAAAGGGGAGTGGGGCGTTGAGGTATATGTGGAGTCAAAAAACGTTATCTATGGAGGCAAAGAAGGGAATGTATGAAAGTATAGTAGTACCAACACTCTTATATGGGGGTGAAGCTTTGGGGGGTAAATGCAGCAGCGAGGAGACGGTTGGAGGCAGTGGAGATGTCCGTTTAAGGGGAATGTGTGGTGTAAATATTATGCAGAAAATTCGGAGTGTGGAAATTAGGAGAAGGTGTGGAGTTAATAAAAGTATTAGTCAGAGGGCAGAAGAGGGGTTGTTGAGGTGGTTTGGTCATTTAGAGAGAATGGATCAAAGTAGAATGACATGGAAAGCATATAAATCTATAGGGAAGGAAGGCGGGGTAGGGGTCGTCTCGAAAGGGTTGGAGAGAGGGGGTAAAGGAGGTTTTGTGGGTAAGGGGCTTGGACTTCCAGCAAGCGTGCGTGAGCGTGTTAGATAGGAGTGAATGGAGACGAATGGTACTTGGGACCTGACGATCTGTTGGAGTGTGAGCAGGGTAATATTTAGTGAGGATTCAGGGAAACCGGTTATTTTCATATTTGCGGACTTGAGTCCTGGAAATGGGAAGTACATGCCTGCACTTTAAAGGAGGGGTTTGGGATATTGGCAGTTTTGGAGGGATATGTTGTGGTATCTTTATATGTGTATGCTTCTAGACTGTTGTATTCTGAGCACCTCTGCAAAAACAGTGATAATGTGGAGTTGTGGTGAAAGTGTGAATGATGATGAAAGTATTTTCTTTTTGGGGATTTTCTTTCTTTTTTGGGTCACCCTGCCTCGGTGGGAGACGGCCGACTTGTTGAAAAAAAAAAAAAAAAAAAAAAAAAAAAAAAAATAATTTATATATATATAATATATATATATATATATATATTTTATATTATATATATAAAATAACTGTATATATATATATATTTTTTGTTTTTTCAACAAGTCGGTCGTCTCCCCCCGAGGCAGGGTGACCCCAAAAAAAAGAAAGAAAATCCCCAAAAAAAAAATACTTTCATCATCATTCAACACTTTCACCACACTCACACATTATCACTGCTTTTGCAGAGGTGCTCAGAATACAACAGTTTAGAAGCATATATGTATTTAAAGATACCAACTATCCCTCCAAACTGCCAATATCCCAAACCCCTCCTTTAAAGTGCAGGCATTGTACTTCCCATTTCCAGGACTCAAGTCCGACTATATGAAAATAACCAGTTTCCCTGAATCCCTTCACTAAATATTACCCTGCTCACACTCCAACAGATCGTCAGGTCCCAAGTACCATTCGTCTCCATTCACTCCTAACACGCTCACGCACACTTGCTGGAAGTCCAAGCCCCTTGCCCACAAAACCTCCTTTACCCCCTCTCTCCAACCCTTTCGAGGACGACCCCTACCCCGCCTTCCTTCCCCTATAGATTTATATGCTTTCCATGTCATTCTACAGTGGACCCCCGCATAACGATTACCTCCGAATGCGACCAATTATGTAAGTGTATTTATGTATGTGCGTTTGTACGTGTATGTTTGGGGGTCTGAAATGGACTAATCTACTTCACAATATTCCTTATGGGAATAAATTCGGTCAGTACTGGCACCTGAACATACTTACGGAGTGAAAAAATATCATTAACCGGGGGTCCACTGTACTTTGATCCATTCTCTCTAAATGACCAAACCACCTCAACAACCCCTCTTCTGCCCTCTGACTAATACTTTTATTAACTCCACACCTTTTCCTAATTTCCACACTCCGAATTTTCTGCATAAAATTTACACCACACATTGCCCTTAAACAGGACATCTCCACTGCCTCCAACCGTCTCCTCGCTGCTGCATTTACCACCCAAGCTTCACACCCATATAAGTGTTGGTGCTACTATACTTTCATACATTCCCTTCTTTGCCTCCATAGATAAGTTTTTGACTCCACATATACCTCAACACACCAACTCACCTTTTTTTCCCTCATCAATTCTATGATTAACCTAATCCTTCATAAATCCATCCGCCGACACGTCAACTCCCAAGTATCTGAAAACATTCACTTCTTCCATATATAATATATATAATATATATATATAAATATATATATATATATACCACACACACACACACACACACACAAACTTTGATCTGATAATGCTTCTCCATAAATTTAATAATCATCTTTACATCAATAATGTTTGACAAGTACAACGTGTGATAATAATGAGGGTACCTGCAGACTGCGGTGTAGACAGGAATGGCAGCAGTGGGCTACCTTCAAGCTCTGCCCACACTTGCTTGGGCTTCTGAGTAGCAACTTCAGCCAAGAATTCCAGCAATGCAGCCACCAGTTCTCCAGGGGGCCGGCTCACTTGTGACACTCTGCCCACAACAGAGTACTTAAATTATTGCTCTCAAATTATAGTACACAGTACATACAAGTATACAACAATATAAAGCAATAATCAAGGCAAACTAAAAAAATAAGTTTTTTACAAATTTTTTCAACGAACTGGCTGTATCCCACCAAGGCAGAGCGAGCTAAAAAGAAAAACAAAAGTTTCTCTTTTTAAATTTAATAGTGTATACAGAAGAAGGGGTTACTAGCCCCTTGGTCCCGGCATTTTTGTTGCCTCTTATGACACGTATGGTTTACGGAAAAAGAAATCTGTTCCATTTCCCCATGGAGATAAAAGGAAATAAAGAAGAAGAAGAACTATTAAGAAAATAGAAGAAAACCCAGATGGGCATGTCCAGTCGACCCTCGACTAACGGCGGCATTAAGTAACGGCAATTTTGTCTAATGGAGCTTTTTGCCGTAGAAAAAATGCCTTAACCAACAACGAAAAACTTAACCGACGACATTCGTCTGGAACCTCTCGATGTGCGCCCAGCCACTCCAAGAGTCAGTATGCCATTCTTTACAAGCTGTTGCGGTTGGTTTCCACATGTGCCTCCCATACATTTTGGATTATTCCACTGTTTCTAGTGCTTGCAACCGCTAAATAAGCCACCATGGACCCCACGAAAACTTCTGGAGCCAGCGCCCTTTGGTAAAGGATGTGAGAAACACGATAGAATTCAAGAAAAAGTTTGTAGAAAAATACGAAAGTGGTGGTGGTAGAGGGTGGTAGTGATTCAATTCAATTCAATTCAAGTTTATTCTCTATAATGGTTACAGTGTGGGGTTTACAGGTTTTGGGTATTTTGTGGTTTACATGTTTGTTTGGTTTTTTTTTCAACAAGTCGGCCGTCTCCCACCGAGGCAGGGTGACCCAAAAAAGAAAGAAAATCCCCAAAAAGAAAATACTTTCATCATTATTCAACACTTTCACCACACTCACACATTATCACTGTTTTTGCAGAGGTGCTCAGAACACAACAGTTTAGAAGCATACACATATAAAGATACACGACATATCCCTCCAAACTGCCAATATCCCAAACCCCTCCTTTAAAGTGCAGGCATTGCACTTCCCATTTCCAGGACTCAAGTCCGACTATATGAAAATAACCGGTTTCCCTGAATCCCTTCACTAAATATTACCCTGCTCACACTCCAACAGATCGTCAGGTCCCAAGTACCATTGTCTCCATTCACTCCTATCTAACACGCTCACGCACGCTTGCTGGAAGTCCAAGCCCCTCATCCACAAAACCTCCTTTACCCCCTCTCTCCAACCCTTTCGAGGACGACCCCTACCCCGCCTTCCTTCCCCTATAGATTTATATGCTTTCCATGTCATTCTACTTTGATCCATTCTCTCTAAATGGCCAAACCACCTCAACAACCTCTCTTCTGCCCTCTAATACTTTTATTAACTCCACACCTTTTCCTGATTTCCACACTCCAAATTTTCTGCATATTTCCACACTTCAAATTTTCTGCATAATATTTCCACACTCCGAATTTTCTGCATAATATTTACACCACACATTGCCCTTAGACAAGACATCTCCACTGCCTCCAGCTGCTTCCTCGCTGCAGCATTTACAACCCAAGCTTCACACCCATATAAGAGTGTTGGTACCCCTATACTTTCATACATTCCCTTCTTTGCCTCCATAGATAATATACATATTATTATTATGTTTACAGCGAAGCACTAAACTTATTTAGGTTATACTGCGCCTTGGAGAATGGGAGGTAATCAGACTTGATCCAAGGAAGAGGAGGCCAAGTCTAATTCCTTGAATCAAGAGCCCCTCACCATCACCAAAGAACCTCCCATGAGGGGTAAATATACACAACTAGATAAATACAGATCAGTGATATGCCAAGGAAATATTCCTTGGTACTGAGCTGTATCTACCCATGATATAAAATAGTTTTTAAAAAATATAAAGAAAAGAGTGCACATAAGAGCTGTTACCCCATGTTTCTTGATCCTACTGAAGGTTGCACACTGAACTAAAACAGATATATATAGGAAGAAGCTAATAAGACACACCCTGCTTTCATATCAGTATTCAATGGTGATGAAACTCATTAGATTCATATTTTAGTCCAGCTCAACACAATGCTTACTGGCATACACTCCAATTAACACATCATGCCCGAGAAAGTTATTTCAACTTCTGGGTATACCATTTAAGAAAAACATCAGGTTGTGCTTACTCATTTTGTAGACGGGAATAGGTTTGATAGCTCTAAAAACAATCATGAAAACATTTTGGAAAATAATGAAGAATTCCTAATGATATTCTATATAACGATTAATTATCCATAGGGAAGAAGGAAAAAAGAATCCTTTCTCCATAAGCCATGCATGCTGTAAAAGGCAACTAAAATGCTGGGAGCAAGGGGCTAGTAACCTTTTCTGTATAAATTACTATATGTAAAAAGAAGAAAATCTTTTGTTTCTTCTATTTCGGGTCACCCTGCCTTGGTGGGAGACAGCTGGGGTGTTAAAAATAAAATTCATACTCAATTTTTTTACTTACCTACAAAGTAATCCAACAGACTGGTTAACAAAATGAACTAATGCTGGCAGGTGACTAGGAACAGTTGTTAAAACAGAAGAGAGGAGTCGCATGGTAGCTGACACTGCTGTCATTAGTCTGGGGTCAGGAAGACTTGCCCCACCACTCACCTTCAAAAAATTTTGATATAATGAGCTAGGACTACACCTACACACCAATGTGGAATTCAATATACATATCCAGTATTAAAGTGAAAAAAACAAAATTTAATATTTTCACAGACTTACTAGTACTGTCATATGTTGTCTATACTACAGTTTTCAATATGTATCTATTCATATCTCACACATGGTATCTGTGTAGAGAGATCACTCCTATACTACACACATATCTATGCATATCTCACACATTGTATCTGTACACTGAGATCAACCCTATACTACACACATACAATTCTATGTCTCACACGTGTTATTTGTACCTGGGAAATCAACCCTATGCTACATGCTTATCTAGCAATATCTCCCACACGGTGTCTCTAGACAGGAACCAAAGGCAGCAAACTATCTTACATCAAACAACAAATGTTACATCTTTGATATTCAATGCTTAGAGCTGAATCTATGCAAACAATCTATGTAAATATTTATTTACACAGATATGAAACCATATACCTCAAAATAATAAAGATATTGTATACAACAGTCAAGATAAACACAAATATTCAAAAGCAATGCCTGAATTCCAGTTAACTGTTCTATAGAAGTGTTATAATCTAAATTCTAAATCATCAAATGCCTGTATGCACATGTAAAAAAATGCATTCTTTAATCACACTGATATACAGCCTCTCCTCACTTAGCAACGTACTTGTTTACCGATGCTTTGGACTTACGACGGGCTCTCTGACCAGTATTCATCCCTAAATAATGAATATTAGAGCTGATTTCCTCAATTCTGTTTATTTCACTATACAGAACACTACTGCATAAACATTTAAAAATATACCAGAAATGTTATAAATGGTGCAAAGATATCAAAGATGGTTGACACATCACTTACATTATACTATGACCTACCTCACATAGTGATGAATTCATTTAACGCATGGTCTCAGGATGCCAAAAATCCGTTGTTATGAGAGAGGTGTTTGAATACGGTTGAATCCATTCAGGATATTCTTGGGCAGTGATGGACTGGCACAACAAAAATTCCATCATAAGCTTTACTTAAAAAAATTTCGCACTTATACAGTGCGAGATTTTTTTAAGTAAAGCTTATGATGGAATTTTTGCTTGTGCCAGTCCATCACTGCCCCCAACAATATCCTGATAATGGGATTCAACCGTATTCAAGTACAGCCTCTCCTCACGTAACAACGGATTTCTGCTCCTGAGACCATGCCGTTAAATGAATTCATCACTAAGTGAGGAGCATAGTATAATTGTAGTGAGTGTGTCAACCATCTTTGATATCTTTGCACCATTTATAACATTTCTGGTATATTTTTAAATGTTTATGCAGTAGTGTTCTGTATAGTGAAATAAACAGAATTGAGGAAATCAGCTCTAATATTCATTATTTAGGGATGAATACTGGTCAGAGAGCCCGTCGTAAGTCCAAAGCATCGGTAAACAAGTACGTTGCTAAGTGAGGAGAGGCTGTACTGTAGTACATATATAGTGATGTAGACTATCTTGAAAGTGTGTGAAGCGTAGTCTTCAAAATACTGTACGAAGGGTTACATTAATAGAAGATTTTTTTTTTTTTTTTTTTTTTTTTTTTTTTTTTTTTTTTTTTTTTTTACACAGGGTTTGACAAGGTTAAGGATCCCTAGCTTTATTGACAAGCTATTTACAGGTTAAGGATTCCTAACTTTATTGGCAAGCTAAGAGCTGTTACCTACATCAGCTCATTTGAAAGCATTTTTATTGTTATGAGACATACAAGTAGAGAAAAGGATGAAGTTGGAGCCATCTGTGGGCCAGCATTTTCATTTGATCAACTGACTTTATCTCGTTGACATCATTATGCTGTACGAATGTGTTCCATACTCGAGTCATCCTGGGTATGTATGATCTCAGATGGAGTGATGTTCTGGAGAAGGGTACAGCCAGAGTGAAGTTGCTGCTTTCTGCCCATCTTGTGGCATAAAAGCTTGTTTCACGCTGTCCTCGAAGTGGATCCAAGTGTGGTATTTTGACAATATTGGCCTTGTACATAACAGTAAGACCACCCACATCCCTCCTATGTTGAAGGCTCTGCTGAAATGACAGATCTATCCAGGATGGGTCCAGGCGAGAGATGAGACGTCTTGCTCTGTTCTCTACTCTGTCAAGCAGTCGCAGATGAGAGGGGCGGCAGGCAAACCAAGAAAGTGGAGCATACTCAAGGTGTGAGCGTACTTGTGCCTCGTACAGGATCTTGCAACCCCTACTGTCAAGCAGATGCGAGATATGGCGAAGTGCTGTAAGCTTCCTGGCTGCCTTGTTTGCAAGATTTACAACATGGTTCTTCATGGTTAGTTTGGAGTCAAATTTCACCCCAAGGATATCAACTTCTTCTCCAGGTGCCAACACCCTCCCATTCATCCTTACTACTGCACCAGCATTACCATCATGGTGCCTAGAGACGATCATCATTTGCGTTTTCTCAGGTGCAAATGTTACTTGCCATCTATTTCCCCAAGCTGATAAAGCTCTCAGCTGGTGATTGATGTAGCTTAGAGCAGCTGGCATTTCTTCTCTTGGATAAGTGAATGTCAGTGTACAGTAGGTTATGCCTGTGATCAATGTTTAATGTGAATGTTATGGGGAGAAGTAGCAGTGAAGAAATTATAAAACTGTGTAATTTTGTTGAAGATATCATAATTGCAAATTGAAGGTAAGGGATTGAGATGGCTTTGTCATGAAGAATGGAGCAAGATAGATAAGTGATATAAATCAGAAGTGGATGTCAAGTACAAATAAACATGACAGAACAAAGTGAATGTAGGTTAGTAATAAATGTAATTTTATGCAATGCTGAATTGAGCGCAAATTATCTATGAAGAACTTAGAGAAAACCAGCCTGTCAGACTAGGGTTATGGAAGCTGGAAAATTCAGTGCCTACCCTCAAAGTAGAATGGAATGATGAAGAGTCTTAGTCAAGACCACATTACAACATCTGTGCCCTTCTGGAAAGGTAGCTAGTATGCATTTTCCAGGTTATTGTGATGAAGAGATACAAAAATTAACAAAACTTTTAGTATCTACTTAGCCTCCCTTATTTGTGTATTGTATATGTGTACATGAGCCTGGCTGTATAATCATGTTCCTCTGAGTGGCAAAATACTGTGGTTTGAACAGCATCCAATGAACTGTTTATTCATTTATTACTGCTGGGTTGGTGTGCTCTCCTGCTGGTACATCCATTTTCCTTTATTATATTTGTGCAACAAAACATACAATATCATTTTCTTTCTCTTTTCTTACCTCTTTATCCAGGATTATGAATGAATAATTTAATATCTAGAACAGCAGTCTTCAACTATATCAACCACATAAAAACTTTCAGCCCCACATAAAACATAGGCTCAATAATCAAAAAACTTTCATGATATTAAAATGGGATGATACTAAATATTAAAATGGGATGATATTAAAACTTGCCTCATTATCAAGCAGCTTCATGATGGCAAGTAAAGCTTGCCAGGCATTTGTTGGCATTTGCCAAGCCACAATTATAGGATTAGTGGAGAGCAGCACTCCACTTGTGTGTGCTGGCACCATCACACTTGGCAATAGGTAGAGAGAAGCTGTAGCAAAACAATTACCCCCTCGTATCTGAATATTCTCAGCTTCACAATCTGGGATAATCCAAGTGATATTAGGAAGTTCACTAAGGAGTTCCACCACCTGCAAAGAATATGATTAAAAAATTAATCTGTACCTACAGTGACGATGGTCAATTTCTTGGTACTTACATTACCAGTCTTGTCATCGAACTCAAAATGTGACCAACTGTGTAATTTGTAAACAAATGTGGCTTGCATCAACAACCTTGTGACAGCTCTCAGGGTTTGCCAGTGCCAGAGCTGTTGCCAGGGAGAGTAATGGCTCAACATCATGTGGGAATACTTCCAATGCCTGTGGCAACAACAAACCAGCTCCTCCACCTGAAACATTTAGATTCTAATAGCAAAATCAAACAAATATTTTGATTTATTGAATACAATGATCCATTTACTTTAACTGACATATATGTGTTATTGTATACAGTAGGGCCCCATTTTTATGGCAGGTTAGGTTCCAGGCTACCGCCGTAAAGCGGAAATCATCATAAAGTGGAACACCCTTTTCTTTCCACTTATAAATGCACATAAATGCTAGATACCAGGTTTACACTAACATATATTAAGTGAGCAATAGAACAAGGCATTAAAAAACACACAAAAAAAGTAAAATACACACACAGTACACTTGTTACTTATCTTAAATTATTAATATAAATGCATGAGAGGTGAGTGGCAGTGTAAAAGTTTTCCCATATCAGCAATAAGTCACTTTGTCTGAATTTTTTGGGTTATCCTAGGTTCTCTACATATATGCTGCTGTATGTAACTGTATTTGATGGCTATCTCAGCCATCAACATACCTTGTTAATAAGTTCATTCAGGTATACACAAATACAGTTATATAGATTAACATACATAGCAGCATGTGTAGAGAACCTAGGATAACCCAAAAAAGTCGGTTCACTAAGTTTAATCATTTCTAACTTGGCACTTAAAGTAAGAGGCTTATGACTCTTTCTTTTCATCACAACTAAGCATAGTTGCCATCACCAACGAGAGCCAACTAGTTAACAAAATAGTAAACAAGAGAGAACAAGATACACAGAGTTCAAACAATGTGCGTAAAGGTAGAAAGTTGAAAGTGAACATAGATAAGAGTAAGGCGATGAGGGTATCAAATGATTTAGATAAAGAAAAATTGGATATCACAATGGAGAGAGGGAATATGGAAGAAGTGAATGCTTTCAGATACGTGTATTTGGGAGTTGACGTGTCAGCGGATAGGTTCATGAAGGATGAGGTTAATCATAGAATTGATGAAGGAAAAAAGTTGAGTGGTGCGTTGAGGTATTTGTGGAGACAAAATACGTTATCCATGGAGGCAAAGAAGGGAATGAATGAAAGTATAGTGGTACCAACACTCTTATATGAGTGTGAAGCTTGGGTTGTAAATGCTGCAGCGAGGAAGCAGCTGGAGGCAGTGGAGATGTTCTGTCTAAGGGCAACGTGTGGTGTAAATATTATGCAGAGAATTCGGAGTGTGGAAATTAGGAGGTGTGGAGTTAATAAAAGTATTAGTCAGAGGGCTGAAGAGGGGTTGTTGAGATGGTTTGGTTATTTAGACAGAATAGATCAAAGGAGAATGACTTGGAGAGTGTATAACTCTGTAGGGGAAGGAAGGTGGGTACGGGTCGTCCTCGTAAAGGTTGGAGGGAGGGGTAAAGGAGGTTTTGTGGGTGAGGGGCTTGGCTTCCAGCAAGTGTGCGTGAGTAGAGTGAATGAAGTGAATGGAGACGAATGGATTTTGGTACGTGACAAGCTGTTGGAGTGTGAGCAGGGTAATATTTAGTGAAGGGATTCAGGGAAACTGGTGATTTTTATATAGCCGGACTTGAGTACTGGAAATGGGAAGTACAATGCCTGCACTTTAAAAGAGGGGTTTGGGATATTGGCAGTTTGGAGGGATATGTTATATATCTTTACATATGCTTCTAATATAGGTAGTAGGTTGGTAAAAGGCAACCACCCAGGGAGGTACTACCATCCTGCCAAGTGAGTGTAAAACGAGAGCCTGCAATTGTTTTACGTGATGGTAGGATTGCTGGAGTCCTTTTTTCTGTCTCATAAACATGCAAGATTTCAGGTATGTCTTGCTACTTCTACTTACACTTAGGTCACACTACACATACATGTACAAGCATATATATACACCCCTCTGGATTTTATGCTATTTTCTTTCTGGTTCTTGTGTATTTCCTCCGTAAGCTATGCATGTTGTAAGAGGCGACTAAAATGCCGAGGGCAAGGGGCTAGTAACCCCTTCTCTTGTATAAGTTACTAAATGTAAAAAGAGAAACTTTTGTTTCTCTTTTGGGCCACTCTGCCTTGGTGGGATATGGCAGGAAGGAAGTGAAGAAAAAAAAAAAAAAAAAAAGGGGAGGGGAGAGAGGAGAGAGAGAGAGAGAGAGAGAGAGAGAGAGAGAGAGAGAGGAGAGAGGAGAGAGAGAGAGAGAGAGAGAGAGAGAGAGAGAGTGAGAGAGTGAGAGAGTGAGAGAGTGAGAGAGTGTGTGTGTGTGTGTGTGTGTGTGTGTGTGTGTGTGTGTGTGTGGTGTGTGTGTGTGTGTGTGTGTGTGTGTGTTGTGTGTGTGTGTGTGTGTGTGTGTGTGTGGTGTGTGTGTGTGTGTGTGTGTGTGTGTGTGTGTGTGTGTGTGTGTGTGTGTGTGGTGTGTTACTCACCTATTTGTACTCACCTATTTGTGGTTGCAGGGGTCGAGTCACAGCTCCTGGCCCCACCTCTTCGCTGATTGCTACTAGGTCCTCTCTCTCCTGCCCCATGAGCTCTATCATACCTCGCCTTAAAACTATGTATGGTTCCTGCCTCCACCACATCACTTTCTAGGCTATTCCATGGCCTGACTACTCTATGACTGAAGAAATACTTCCTAACATCCCTTTGATTCATCTGAGTCTTCAACTTCCAATTGTGACCTCTTGTGTCTGTGTCCCATCTCTGGAACATCCCGTCTTTGTCCACCTCGTCTATTCCGCGCAGTATTTTATATGTCGTTATCATGTCTCCCCTGACCCTCCTGGCCTCCAGTGTCGTCAGGCCGATTTCCCTCAACCTTTCTTCATAGGACAATCCCCGTAGCTCTGGGACTAGTCTTGTTGCAAACCTTTGCACTTTCTCTAATTTCTTGATGTGCTTGACTAGGTGTGGATTCCAAACTGGTGCTGCATACTCCAGTATGGGCCTGACATAGATGGTGTACAGAGTGTGAGTGTGAGTGTGAGTGTGTGTGTGTGTGTGAGTGTGTGAGTGTGTGAGTGTGTGAGTGTGTGAGTGTGTGTGTGTGTGTGTGTGTGTGTGTGTGTGTGTGTGTGTGTGTGTGTGTGTGTGTGTGTGGTGTGTTGTGTGTGTGTGTGTGTTGTGGTGTGTGTGTGTGTGTTTTCTGACTACCACTCACTACTTTGTGATCGCCATATGGCTTCAGGAAAGGTTACTCTGCTGCTGATCTGTTGTTAAACCTCCCACTAAGTGGCACCAGTCATGGATGAATCCAAAGTCAGCTGTGTGGTAGCACTGGACTTTACTGGCACTTTAAACCGGGGTGTGGGCACCAGGGCCTCTTAGAAAACTTCAAGCACGGGGAATTGCGGCTCTACGCTATGTCCCCTCAGTGATTACCTTCATGAAAGTCTCTAAGTGTATTCTAAAGGGAAGGGGAATCAGCAAAACATCCTATTGGGGCAAGTTTTCCCACAAGGTAGCGTGCGGGTCCATGTTATGGAATTCTACTCTAACGCCCTTTCTTATCTCTTCCAGAACCACATGCATATCAGCACTGTACATGACATTACTTATCCAAGAGAAGAAATGCGCGCTCTAAGCTACACAATCACCAGCTGAGAGCTATATCAGCGGGGAAAATAGATGCAATAACTTTTGCCCCTGAGAAACGAAAAATGATGATCGTCTTGGGCACCCAGATGGTAATGGGTGCAGTAGAAAGGATGAATGGGAGGGGTTGGCACCTGGAGGAAGTTGATACCCTTGGGGTGAAATTTACTCCAAACTAACCATGAAAAAACCATTTGTGAATCTTGAAATAAGGCGGGCCAGGAAGCTTACAGCACTCCGCCTTTACTCGCATCTGCTTGCAGTGGGGGTTGCAAGATCCTGTCGAGACCAAGTACCTCACCCTTGAGTATGCTCCTTTTTCGGGTTACCCTGCCCCCCTCTCATCTGCGACGCTTGACAGAGAAAGAACAGAGAAAGACGTCTCATCTCTCGCCTGGACCCACCCTGGATAATCTGTCATTTCAGCGGGGGGAGCCTTCAACATGGAGGGAGTGGGTGTTCTTATTGTTTTACAAGGCCCAATATTGTCAAAATCCCACACTTGGATCCACTTCGGGACAGCTGAAAACAAGTTTTTCCAAAAATGGGCAGAAAGCAGCAATTTCCCTGCTTACCCTTCCCAGAACCCACTCCACTGAGATCATACATACCAATGACTTTAGTATGGAACACATTGTACAGCATAATGTGTCAACGAGATAAAGTCAGTTGATCAAATAAAAAAGCGGCCCACGTGGCTCCAACTTTTCCCCGTTCCACCGATGTTCCCTAACAAATTAAAAAAGTTTCAAATGAGCGAGTAGGTAACAAACTTTGCTGTCAATAAAGCTGAATCCTTAACCCGTAAATAGTTTTCAATAAGTAGGGATCCCTTAACCTTGTCAAACCCTGGTAAAAAAAAAAAAAAGAAAAGGGGAAAAAAAAAAAAAAAAAAAAAAAAAAAAAAAAAAAAAAAAAAGGAGGGGAGGAAGAGAGAGGAGAGAGAGAGAGAGAGAGAGAGAGAGAGAAAAGCTTTTTAAACTGTTGATCTGGGGGGCCTCTGCCCAAAAAAAGGGGTCATATATGAAATAGGTGAAAAAAGGTTTAATGACGATTTAAAAAAATATTTTTTATTTTGGGGATTTTCTTTCTTTTTTGGGTTTACCCTACCTAGGGGGAGATGGCAATTGTTGAAAATAAAAAAAAAAAACAAAGTAACTAAATTTTTGTGGATGCTTTATTGTAATGCACTAACAATATTTTCTCCAAACTGGTTTTCCCTAAAAGTGTTTTATATAAAAATTTAACATTTAAAAAAACCCCAAAAATTTTTAAAACCCAAAATCATAGCAAACTTGGGTTGACATTATCCCCAAAAATTTCTAAATGGATCCTACCCAAAAAAAAAAAAAAAATTTAGAAATAGCTTCAATAAAAATTTCCCCCATAAAAAAAAACAATAAAGTAAATAATCTACAAAAAAAACTGCACAAGTATTAACTTAGATACTGTCAAAATTTATAAAAAAATTACTTAAAGAACAAAAACCCTTTTTAATGCTCTCAAGAATGTCAGGTAAAAAATCCATTCACAAATGTGGTTTATTCAATTGATTTTTAAATACAGGAAAAAAATCACTAATTTTTTAGTAAAACAAAAAAATTTAAGAAATTAATGTACAAACCCCTCTGTACATGACCTTTAAAAAGCACAATATAAATTTACTCTGGGGTTTATTGGAAAGCGATTTTCCTCTTTTTTTAGGTCACCCTACCTTAATGGGGGGGAGCCTGTGTTAAAAACAGAAAATGTTTAATCAATGAAAAGTAAACTTCTCAGCCTATCTAGGGTTATTCCAGTAAAACAATTAATTCTAACCTTCTTCAGCCCAAAAGAGATATGCAGGAGGATCTTGTGCCAAGCAGATCTTAGCTAAAGAATTTAAGACCGGCAAGCAGCCCATCCTGTCCAAGTCAAGGGAACCAGCTGCAGCACACACCAAAGAGTATACCACTGATGATGCAAGACGTAGCAGCAACTCGTCTCCCTAATAAAAAAAATTCAAATGTTTAAGTTTTAATATTTCGCTCCCACTAAACTGCACTTAAAATTAGAGCCTCATATAGAATCCACTGCAAACAAAATTTTCAATAAAAAAAAAAATGGCCTTTATGTTGTCTATTACATGCACTTTTCATACTAGGAAAAAATCCTTAATATTCAGATCCCTTTACTGATCTGAATATCACTAACCCCTTCTCTGGCAACCATTGTATTTTTAGTCATCCTAATGACATCCACATTAACCCTTTGACTGTCGCAAGCCTCTTTCTGAAACTGTCATTCTATGTTGGAAAATTTTTTGAAAAAAAAAAAAAAAAAAAAAAAAAAAAAAAAAAAAAAAAAAAAAAAAAAAAAAAAAAATATTTTTTCTTATGAAATGACAGAGAATCTTTTCCCAATGGTAACGACACCAAAAGTACGAAATTTGGTCGAAAACTCATGGAATGATGCTCCCGCAAAGTTAGCGGTCTCGGCGACATATACGCATCGGCGATTTCGCCGAGTCTGAGCCCTGTTTTTGATCACTTCCGTTATTCCAGTTGACCAAACTCATAACTATTTCTTTAGAACTCTGTTTTTTCTATCAGCTGAGTACAAGAAACTGCTCATTTACCAATTTGAACTACCCAATAAAGTGATCAGAAATTGGCAATTTGGCTAATTTTGCACAAAATAAAAAAGATGCCAATTTCAAAATAGAGTCCAGAATAAACAATGTAGAGATTCTTGGCACTAAAATAACATATCCTCTGTTCATTAGTCACGTCTCTAGGGCCCTCTTATATTACTATTGCTTTCTATTTTAATTTTTTATTCATACAAAAAACACAAAATTTACTGTTACGCAGACTACTGCATTATTGTAAAAATGGTATAAATGATATCAGTGTACTAGTGAAAGACTATTAGACTTCCCAATTGACGTGTGGTGCGATTTGCTTACTCTTGAACATTGGTAAAAATCGAACATTTCCGCTACTTTGAGCTCAATTTCAAGGTGGTTTTCATCGAGAAAGTAATCAAAATCATCTCTATTTCTGTAATATGTTTTCCATTTTATCACGAGAGACCATGAAAACGAGAATACAATGATAAATACCATACGAAAATACACCTCAAAGTCCGCATTTTAATCCAAAAAAACGGTCAGTTTTTTTTTCTCATTATGCACTGCGTGCTGCAGGATTTTTTTTATGTGGTGTACACTGACCACACAGACCCATTCTCTCACATGTGGGCCTACCCGTTTTCTCCTGCTTGATTTGAAGCCGCTAGAATTTAAGCGTTTAAATAAGTCCGAAACAGTGACGCGTAAGACGTATATATACGACCGAAATAGTCCAAGGGCTAAGCAGCTGTGGAAATACAGCATACTGTATATATTCGGTATTAACCTCCTATGGGTAATTACTTAGTAGTACTAGTGAGTAGTATTTTATATACTAACCTCAGAAAATTTGAATGTGTATGTACTTGCATCTGTTGCTGTATTCAGTATAATTTTCCTTACATTATATGCTTGTGATACATTCCAGTCATTCACTTTCACTATTAATTTTGTCAAAAGGTCACATATTAAATCATAGTTTGAATTACTACTGTCTATGTTTTGTTTATACAACAAAATTAAGTGTATAGTACTCAGGTTATCACATGTTGAAATGACAAAGGTATAAATTCAGGTAACATATATCAAAACAAAACTATATGATCCATGTTCCTTGCTTAAACAAAGCTCACCTTAATCACTGTATTATTCAGAGCAGTTTGCAGGTAGCCAAAAACATTGCCATGAAGAGCACGTTGAGCAAGTTTGTTGTATATCTTAGGATGAGCTGAGGATGTTGGACCAGCTGCTCTTAACTGCAGCACAGCCCAGGCTAATAATGGAGCAAGGTGTGGTGTTCGAGCCCCAAGCCCTGCCATAATGGGATCAAGCTTGCTGACCCATCCACTGTCACAAAGACTATGACCACTGCAAAATAGTCAGATACATACAGTACTGTTAAAAATGCTGTATCGAACTGCATCACTTAAGTTATTTATCCATTAAACTCAATATCAAAGGATTTCAGTGCTAAACACTAGAGGTACAATTAGTATTTACCTTGTAGGGGAATCTGCATTAATGACAAGCATGAGAAGAAGCATGTGTATAGCATCAAGAGCCTCCACCAGAGGTCCATGGCTGTTCCGTAATCCTTCTTGAATCTCATGCCGTCCACCAAGCCCTCCTCCCTTCAACGTAAGTTTATATTAACATATGCTAAGATATAGTAATGCTAAGACAAGTACTGTAGAACAGGTTCATGAAAGAGAAAACTTCTAATATTTTAAACTGTCAAAAGATACAGTACAGCAAGTATCTTAAGTAGGCACCACTATCATCAGAGAAAAAAGTGCATGTACCATGAAAGTTCATGATTTCCGTGGGCTATGTTTCTAAAATCTGCACTACTATTGATTTCTGTAACATATGGAGTGAGCAACACATGGGAAAAATAAGGTTATGTATTGTGTGTGCACAGTTTTATAGTACAATAAGGCCATCATATGGAACTGGAATGCCTTTGTTTTCTTTTCAATCCACAGATTTGATAACCTTTTGGTCTTTATTTAGCCGTAATGACCTGCTTCTCATTCTTTTCACTGTCACATTGAGGATTCTCATTACATAAGGTCTGATCTTCACCTCATCTTGAACTGAATGAATCAGTAATTCCCTAATACCAAATATACACATCTTCTCTGAGACCCACGTACCACCCTTCAGCATTTCAATAACCTAAAGTATTTTCAACAGGAATAATAGGAGGAATATATTGAAAGAGAAGATAGTAAGTACACTTACAGAATATCTGAAAAAATTGATTATATGATGAACATATTAAAGAAGCCAGGATACCATGAACATAGCTCCTGTATCTACAAATAGGTAATTACAGTGAAGGAATCCATTGCCACCACTTAAGCAGTGTTTACATGCATATTCTACTACAATGACACTGCAAGTGTTCATTGGTACCTTTCTGTGAGGGTTAACATTTTTTTTTTTTTTAACAAGTCAGCCATCTCCCACTGAGGCAGCGTGACCCAAAAAGAAAGAATATCCTCAAAAAGAAAATACTTTCATCATCATTCAACACTTTTACCTCACTCACACATAATCACTGCTTTTGCAGAGGTTCTCTGAATACAACAGTTTAGAAGCATATATGTATAAAGATAAACAACATATCCCTCCAAACTGCCAATATCCAAAACCCCTCCTTTAAAGTGCAGGCATTGTACTTTCCATTTCCAGGACTCAAACCTGGCTATATAAAAATAACCAGTTTCCCTGAATCTCTTCACTAAATATTACCCTGCTCACACTCCAACAGCTCGTCAGGTCCCAAATACCATTCGTCTCTATTCACTCCTATCTAACACGCTCATGCACGCTTGCTGGAAGTCCAAGTCCCTTACCCACTAAACCACCTTTACCCCCTCCCTCCAACCTTTTCGAGGATGACCCCTACCCCACCTTCCTTCCCCTACAGATTTATACACTTTACATGTCATTCTACTTTGATCCATTCTCTCTAAATGACCAAAGCACCTCAACAACCCCTCTTCAGCCCTCTGACTAATACTATTATTAACTCCACACCTTCTCCCAATTTCCACACTCCGTATTTTCTGCATAATATTTACACCACACATTGCCCATAGACAGGACATCTCCAATGCCTCCAATCGTCTCCTCGCTGCAGCATTTACAACCCAAGCTTCACACCAATATAAGAGTGTTGGTACCACTATACTTTCATAAATTCGCTTCTTTGCCTCCATAGACAACGTTTTTTTTTTGTCTCCACATATACGTCAACGCATGACTCATCTTTTTTCCTTCATCAATTCTATGATTAACCTTTTTCTTTCTTTCAACACACTGGCCGTATCCCACCAAGGCAGGGTGGCCCAAAAAGAAAAACAAAAGTTAACCTCATCCTTCATAAATCCATCTGCTGACACGTCAACTCCCAAATATCTGAAAACATTCACTTCTTCCATACTCCTCCTCTCCAATTTGATATCAAACTTTTCTTTATCTAACTCATTTGATACCCTCATCACCTTACTCTTTCCTATGTTCACTTTTAACTTTCTACCTTTACACTTTCAAACTCGTCCACTAACCTTTGCAATTTTTCTTTAGAATCTCCCATAAGCACAGTATGATCAGCAAAAAGTAACTGTCAATTCCCATTTTGTATTTGATTCCCACCCCTCTCCCGAACACCCTAGCATTTTCTCAAATTGCAAGTTACAAAGTAATCTTATGCATTCTTCCTTATTCCACTTACGTAATTTCAAATAAGGTTTCCACTTGAAGAATAGCAATGATAACATTAAGAGCTTTACCTGTGCTAGCTGAACAAGTTTCTGAAATGTGTCTGGTGTTGGCGAGTGAGAAGTGCTGCCATAGTACACGAGGAGTGTGGCCAGTACTTCCCTTAGCTCTGCTAAGTGGTGGGCAAGCCAGGTATGAAGGCCGCCAGATGGAAAGTGTGGACCGTGAGTCTGAATGGTTGGTGGAACCATTCTGGTGCAAAGCATCACTTGCTCCACCAGACTTTCCCAAAGTTTACCATCCTTGTCCAAAACATCACGCATGAAGTCACTAAATAAATTCTGAAAACAATTTTATAAAATAACAAAATGCAAGATGCCTCTGAATAAATTAAATTAAATTCCCAGAATTTGATAAAGTTTTGCCTGAAACACTGAGCATAATATTTATCAGGACATACTAAATTCATTGGGGCTATACATCTGGGGAATGAAAGGCAATCACGTCTGATTCAGAAGGGAGCCCCAATTCCTTGGATCATGAGCCCTTCAGCAGCATCAAGTATGGGCTCTGTCAAAATATAAAGAGGGTGGAGTATATGGAGAGTAAGAGAGAGATTATAGGAGATTGGTGATGGTGTGTAAAATGAGCGCAAAAGAGAGTGGGTGAGGTTTTGTCAACAAATTTTCTTGAGAATAAGAAAGTTTTGGAGCAGGATTAATAGATTGAGAAAGCCTAGGGAATGAATAGATGTAACAGCTAAAAACAGAAGGGGGTTATTGCGTGGAAAGTTAGATGTCAGGAATATTTTGAGGAGCTGTTAAATGTTTATGAATAAAGGGAGGTAGTGATTTCGTGCATTGGCCAGGGAGGTTTACTAACTTTTAGGAACGAGAAAGAGCCAGATGTGAGAGTGGGGGAAGAGATGCATGAGACAGTACGTAAAATGAAAGGGAGTTAAGCAGCTGGAATTGATGGAATCAAGTAAGAAATGTTAAAAACAGATGGGGATATAGTTTTGGAGTCATTGGTGCACTTTGTTCAATAAATGTTTGAAAGATGGAAAGGTACCTAGGGATTGGCAGAGAGCATGCATAGCTCCTTTGTATAAAGAAAAGGGTAACAAAAAAAGAGTGGTGGGAGATGGCCAGCATATTAAAAAAAAAAATGAGTATACTAAGTGTATGGTAGAGTCATTATTGAAAGCATTAAGAGTATGACAGAGAGCAGGATTGTAGATGAACAAGGAGGTTTTAGGAAGGGTATATGATGTGCAGACCAAGTGTTCACAATAAAGCATATAAGTGAACAACATTTAGATAAAGGAAAGGAGGTTTTCTTCATATTTATGGATTTAGAAAAAGCATGTGATAGGGTGGATAGGGGGGCAATGTGGCAGATGTTGCAAGTGGTAGATTACTGAAAGCAGTTTAGTTTTAATTAGGACAGTGAGGCTCACATTAGGGTATGTAGGAGAGAGATTATTTTCCAGTAAAAGTAGGCCCTAGACAGGGATGCATGATGTTCCCAAGGTTGTTTAACATATTTATAGATAGGGTTGTTAAAGAAGTGAATGCTAGGATGTTTGGGAGAGGTGTGGGATTAGAATATACAGAATTTAATACAAGCTGGGAGTTGTCACAGTTGGTTTTTGCTGATGACTGTGCTTTTGGGAGAGTCTGAAGAGAAGCTGCATAGGTTGGTGGATGAATCTGTGAGGATTAGGCAAAGAAGGTAATTAAGAGTAAACAAAGGAAAAAGCAAGGCAATGAGAGCAACAAAAAAAATTAGGTAATGAAAGTACAGTGGTACCAACACTCTTAAATGGTTGTGAAGCATGGGTTGTGAATGTTTCAGTGAGAAAGAGGCTGGAGGCAGTTGAGATGTCATGTCTGAGGGCACTGTGTGGTGTAAATATTATGCAGAGAATATGTAACTTGGAGATTAGGTGGTGGTATGAAGTTACTAAAAGTACTATCCAGAGGGTTGAGGAGGGGTTGTTGAGGTGGTTTGGATATTTAGAGAGGATGGAGCAAAATAGCATGATTTGGAGTATGTATAAATCTGTAGTGGAGGGAAGACAGGTTTGGGGTCATCCTAGGAAAGGTTGGAGGGAGGGGGTAAAAGACCTTTTGTATCCTAGGGGCTTGGATATCCAGCAGGCATGTGTGAGCATGTTAGATAGGAGTTAAGGCAAGTGATTTTTATAACTTGACATACTGTTGGAGTGTGAGCAAGGTAACACTTATGAAGGGATTCAGGGGAAACTGGTTAGCCGGATTTGAGTCTTGGAGGTGGCAGGTACAGTGCCTCTACTCTGAAGGAAGGAGTGGGGATATTTTCAGTTTGGAGGGGCATCTGAATTGTAGTATTGGTGGGCCTCTAGCAAGACAGCGATAGTGAATGATTGTGGTAAAGGTTTCTATTTTTTTTTCAGGTCTCCCTACCTCGGTGGGAGACCTGTCTGTAATTATCTTTATGCATAAATTATTTATTTGAAAAATTAGGAATAAAAATTTTCATGGTAATAAAAATGGTTTAAAAGAAAAAAACCTTAGATTTTAAAATTATTAAAAGAATAGTACAGTTATGTGTAAATTTATAATATCAAAGAAATTTCCACTAGAGCTGGAAAGTGCCTAATTCCTCCTCTTCTCATCAAACAAGCCTATTTAGAGCCTTATTAAGTCAAATGACTTGATAAAGCTCTAACACAGTGAAATGCTGTCCTAATATAAACTTGTTTTGCAACTTGTGTGTTGTCTTGAATACTGTTATTCTTCAAACACTGAACTGTACTGTGTCAATAATTTCAAACAATGCTTTTCATATTCTTCGGTTTACTGTCAGATAGTCATTGATACACTCATTAAAATCTAAATGGATACAAAATTTCACTTGTTTTGAATATTACTGTACCTGGTAAGGATGTTGTGGATTTGATGTATTTGCAACAATGTGTCTCAAACAGCGAAGAAGATGTAGACGATCACCAAGATAAAAATTCCACAGTTGAGCCATGAAGGTTTCTTCATCACGCTGATTGGCCAACACCTCTGTTAATGCAACTTCTGCACCTCGATACTCATGGAGTAAGAACAACTGAAACATCTCCCAACTATGGGATGCTGACAAATCCTGAGGAAAGAGAAAATGTGGATTTCATCTGTGCAATCAACCAAGGTATCTCAAGCTCCCATCAACCTTTGCCTCCTATCCTGGCATATCTCTGAACAAAATTTAGGAATTACTTTGTAGAATTGTTTCCCTGCCTCCACCTCTTCAAACATTTTTTTTTTTTACCTCAATGGCCATCTTACACCAAGGCAGCATGACCCAAAAAAAAAGGAAACAAATTCATATCACTCATTCATTCATTTAATCACAATACAAATAATAAAGCATAGACAATTTTAAATATAAAACAATGAGCCCCCAATTTTGAAGTGAGAAATCAATAGACTCAAGTTGTAGTGAATAAATGTCAATGAATAAAAAGAATAAACAGGGATTCAAACAATTTGTCTTACAAGTAGTAGGCCCATTGCTATACCTCTGAGCCACAAAGCTTATAAAAAGAATAATTTTACAAACAGCACTTCACTAACATTTTTTTTTATTAGTGACATTAACTGTATCCCTACTGTTTAGTCCCACAGCCCCAGAAGCTTCCATGATACATTTATTCTCATACTCCTCAAAGCCATATAGTCCATAAACTCAAGATAAGTTATAATGAATGACTGTCAATATTTATTCAGTGACAGGAAAACATTGGTCAAATGACCAGTGTGCTGGTAACCATCTGATTAAGACCAACTCCCACATCAAGAGAAATTTTCCTATTTTTTTTCCTGACAATATATCACACCCCTCCAACGAATGAAATTGTCTCTAAATTTGTTCACTTGGGGATGCCTCCCAATTATGATAAAAACCTTCATTTCAAGATACTGTACTGTATACCGTATTTACAATTATAAAGTTTCAATTCATGGTGAAAAAGTTACTGATTTTCACAAAAACAAAATGCGATTGAAACAAAACTGGGAAAACAATCCTGCCTGTACAGTAAATATAGTACACAAGAGAGACTAAAAATACAGCACAGTATATAGCCATTAAAGTGAAACCTAACATCTGATATGTATTAGAGTTTTTTACTTACCAGCAGTTGAGAGAGCTTCTTGACAAAATCTTTTTCTGACTGTGTGGCTTCTGCAGTTTGTGACCATTTTGTATAATGATCACCACTGGGTTTCGTAAAAGCAGCCAAGCCAGCACGAAGGTGAGGGGCTGCTAGCTGTAGTTCTACACCTACAACTTCATCTGATGGCAGCACATAAGTGCCACATATAACACCCCACAGAGCTTTTCCACTGAAATTAGTCACAAGATATATACTGTTAATATATGAAACTTTTTCCTAAATCTTTAAAGATAAATTTATAAAATGACAAATATATATGAATATTGTTGACCATTAAGATACACTGTTAAGAAAATCTGTGAATAATTATTTTCCATATAGAGTAGACTACAGGAGAAAAGGGGGTACTGTTTCACTGTATTCAACAAAATAGTGGTAAAGCATACAACAAAGTTTATATTTAGATACTTTACATGTCATACATAAAGCTCACTAGCTAATAAATAATCAACACTTATTTTATTCTGTAACATACTAATAAAGCAATTATTAATAAAAACTCATACAAAGTATAGTCAGAGGCAGCTACGGTGACAAGCTCTGTTCCACAAGGTACAGTACTCGTTCCCATCCTTTTTCTCATCCTCATATCTGACATAGACAGAGATGTAACCCACAGCACCGTGTCTTCCTTTGCTGATGATAAAAGAATTTGCATGAGTGTCATCCACTGAGGACACTGCAAATTTCCAAATGGACATTAACCAAATGTTTAAATGTGCCTCACAAAACAATATGAAGTTCAATGAAGACAGATTTCAATTACTCTGCTATGGAAAACTGTATCAGAATACAAAAATTCCAACTATACAATAGGGCAAAAAACTAATGTGAAGGTCCTGAGAATGATAATTTCAAAAAATCTCGCTTTCAAAGATGACAATTATGTCTCACCACATCTGTTAAGAAAATGATAGGATGAATAATGAGAACCTTCAAAACAAGGAATGCCAAGCCAATGACAATTATTTTCAAATCGCTTGTTCTCTCTAGGCTTGAGTATTACTATACATTAACAGACTCTTTCAAGGCAGGCAAAAATCACAGACCTGGAGAATAGAGAACTTTCACTGCATGTGTAAGAACAATAAAGTACGTCAGTTACTGGGAACGGCTGAAGTCCCTTGACTTATACTCCTTGGAATGAAGGTATATATTATCATGTATCTTTCTCACCTGCATTCCAGGAAGTACAGGTCAAGAGACTGCAACTGTTACCACTAATTTAGGTACTTTATTGTACTTATACATGCCATAAAAGTTCTCTGTATATTCTCAAGGTCTGCAGTTTTGCCTGCCTTGAAAGGAGCCATTAGTGTAGAGCAATATTTCAGCCTAGGGAGAAAAAGTGATTTGAAGAGAATCTTTATTCAAGGTTCTCAGTATCCATCCTATCATTTTCCTAGCAGATGTGACAGGAATGTTGTTGTGATCTCTGAAAGTGAGATCCTCTGACATTATCATACTCAGGTATTTCACATTAATTTTTTGCTCTATTGTGTGGTTTGAATTTGTCTTACATTCTGATCCACTTTTCATTTCCTCGATTTTTCTATAGTATTAATATTTTAATCAGGGAGAAGCACTAAAGTCATAGGGGTCATATTAGTGCAGGGGGGAAAGGAAATTCAGGATCCACCCAAATTATAATTACTATAATCATGGGGGAGTGTTAAACCTGTAGGACTGTACAACACTGGTGGGGGGGGGGGGAAGGAAGGCATTCAGGCTCAATTCAGGGAACTGGAGCAGATCCAATTCCCTAGATCAAGAGCCCATCACCAGTGTCAAGGAACCTCCCTTGAGGGGTGATCCGCTCAAAGAGGAGCAAAAGTCTAGTTCCTTGGATCAAGAGCCCCCTCACCAGCATCAAGGCACCTCCTTTGAGGAGCAACTCAGTTTATTTAGACACAGGAACATATAAGTACAGTTATGATACAGGTTTACCATACGTATAAATAACCTAGGATACCCTTCCCTCCCCCCCCCCAAAAAAAAAAATGAGCAAGCTAAGCTTAAACCAAAATCAAAAGTACACGTGGTGCTTATTTACCTCACAATTTCTATATTCTCCATGATGATAAACGTAACAAATAAGCTGCGTACGTATATAAATAGTCTCCTGCCTCTTCTCGGTAAGTGTATTAGACTTTTATGTGAGGACTACAACATTTTTAAAAACAGTGATGATGTTGGTGTTGTTTGGGTTGTAAGAGCCACTGACAGCTTACACGGCAGCCAACCTGCCTTCCACCTCTACTACCCAGAAATAATAATAATAATAATAATAATAATAATAATAATAATAATAATAATAATAATGATAATGATAATAATAATAATAATAATAATAATAATGATAATGATAATGATAATGATAATAATAATATAATAATAATAATAATAATTAATAGTAATAATAATAATAATAATAATAATAATAATAATAATAATAATGATAATGATAATAATAATAATAATAATAATAATAATAATAATAATAATAATTAATAATAATAATAATAATAATAATAATAATAATAATAATAATAATAATAATAATAATTAATAATAATTAATAATGAAAAAATAATAATAATAATAATAATAATAAATAATAATAAAATAATAATAATATAATAATTAATAATAATAAAATAATAAATAATAATAATATAATAATAATTAATATAATAATAATAATAATATAATAATAATAATAAAATAATAATTAATAATAATAATAATAATAATAATAATAATAATTAATAATAATAATTAATAGTAATAATAATAATAATAATAATAATATAATAATTAAATAATAATTAATAATAATAATTAATAGTATATAATAATAATAATAATAATAATAATAATAATAATAATAATAATAATAATAATAATAATAATAATATATTATAATAATAATAATAATAATAATAATAATAATTAATAATAATAATAATAATAATAATAATAATAATAATAATAATAATAATAATATAATAATAATAATAATAATAATAATAATAATTAATAATAATATAATAATATAATAATAATAATATTAATTAATAATAATAATAATAATTAATAATATATAATAATAATATATAATAATATAATATTATCAATTAATAATTAATTAATATAATTTAATAATAATGCAAATAATATCAGACATAAAACTAATTAATTAATATACACTAACTTTATTTGCAATCGCAACAATAATGATGCTACAAAGGTGTTGAATGATAGTTTGAGGTGCTCACATATGAGCTGCAAATTGCAGAGCATCTCAGTGCATCATATTTTCTTAGACTGTTTCTGTAAACTGCAAGCTCCGTAATGTTTATGCAAAAGAATAGCAAAGCGTACATGATCAAATACACCCAGGGTTGATGTTGAATGATAGCTTAGGCACTTGCGTGTTGCATTGACATCATATGAGCTTGCAATGTTGCAGAAAAGAGGAGGTCCATCCAAGGTGCTCCCTGTGATCATATTTTCTTAGACCTGTTTTCTGTAACACTGCAAGCTCCCTGTAATGTGTTTATGGCAACACGAAAGGCCTAGAGCTATCATTCAACTCCCCTAGTGGTTGTTTTGCATACCTACCTAACTTAAGACTACGCGGGCATGTCATTATACATCATTATAGTAATGTTAAACAATTTGCAAACCTATGAAAATATAGTAAGTTTATTTAGGTACAGGTTATTCAGGTACACATAAATAGTTACACAAATTATCATACATAGTAACGTCTGTGTAGATTACCTAGGACATACCCAAAACAGATCAGACCAAGTGACTTATTTCCATTGGGGTTACTTTTGAAAAAAGAAATATTGTAAAGGTTTCCCAGAAAGTCAGATGAACCCCCTTATGTAAGTCTTGGCACAGATGAACATCAGCACTCTCAGCTGAGTACAGTAACAGCTACCTGAGTACAGTAACAGCTACCTGAGTACAGTAACAGCTACCTGAGTACAGTAACAGCTACCTGAGTACAGTAACAGCTACCTGAGTACAGTAACAGCCATCTGAGTACAGTAACAGCTACCTGAGTACAGTAACAGCTACCTGAGTACAGTAACAGCTACCTGAGTACAGTAACAGCTACCTGAGTACAGTAACAGCTACCTGAGTACAGTAACAGCCACCTGAGTACAGTAACAGCCACCTGAGTGTAGTAACCACCACCTGAGTGTAGTAACCACCACCTGAGTACAGTAACCACCACCTGAGTACAGTAACCACCACCTGAGTGTAGTAACCACCACCTGAGTGTAGTAACCACCACCTGAGTTTTTTAACCACCACCTGAGTGTAGTAACCACCACCTGAGTGTAGTAACCACCACCTGAGTACAGTAACAGCCACCTAAGTACAGTAACAGCCACCTGAGTACAGTAACAGCCACCTGAGTACAGTAACCACCACCTGAGTACAGTAACAGCCACCTGAGTACAATAGCCACCACCTGAGTACAGTAACAGCCACCTGAGTGTAGTAACCACCACCTGAGTGTAGTAACCACCACCTGAGTACAGTAACCACCACCTGAGTACAGTAACCACCACCTGAGTGTAGTAACCACCACCTGAGTGTAGTAACCACCACCTGAGATTTTTAACCACCACCTGAGTGTAGTAACCACCACCTGAGTGTAGTAACCACCACCTGAGTACAGTAACAGCCACCTAAGTACAGTAACAGCCACCTGAGTACAGTAACAGCCACCTGAGTACAGTAACCACCACCTGAGTACAGTAACAGCCACCTGAGTACAATAGCCACCACCTGAGTACAGTAATCACCACCTGAGTTTTTTAACCACCACCTGAGTGTAGTAACCACCACCTGAGTGTAGTAACCACCACCTGAGTGTAGTAACCACCACCTGAATGTAGTAACCACCACCTGAGTGTAGTAACCACCACCTGAGTGTAGTAACCACCACCTGAGTGTAGTAACCACCACCTGAGTGTAGTAACCACCACCTGAGTGTAGTAACCACCACCTGAGTGTAGTAACCACCACTGAGTGTAGTAACCACCACCTGAGTGCAGTAACCACCACCTGAGTGTAGTAACCACCACCTGAGTGCAGTAACCACCACCTGAGTGTAGTAACCACCACCTGAGTGCAGTAACCACCACCTGAGTGCAGTAACCACCACCTGAGTGCAGTAACCACCACCTGAGTGTTAGTAACACCACCTGAGTGCAGTAACACCACCTGAGTGCAGTAACCACCACCTGAGTGCAGTAACCACCACCTGAGTACAGTAACCACCACCTGAGTGCAGTAACCACCACCTGAGTGCAGTAACCACCACCTGAGTACAGTAACCACCACCTGAGTGCAGTAACCACCACCTGAGTGTAGTAACCACCACCTGAGTGCAGTAACCACCACCTGAGTGCAGTAACCACCACCTGAGTACAATAGCCACCACCTGAGTGCAGTAACCACCACCTGAGTGTAGTAACCACCACCTGAGTGCAGTAACCGGCTTCCCACCAAAACCGTCAAAGACCTATCCGCAGTGCGGAAAAATGGACTTTATAAATGGTGCTCTCGCTGTAACGTGAAGATTTGTTCGGACTTTTTTTTAACCCCGGAGAGTTGGCTACCCAGGATAACCCAAGAAAGTGTCCCTCCTGTTACATGTCCAGCGGGAGAAGTAAAATGAGGGAAAAGCGAGATTTCCACAACAACTACAATAATACTAATAATAATAATCCTTATTTCTACAAATATATATACAAGATACACAGACTTAGCTGACATCAGTGACATACTACTATATAGACAGCCCATTGTTATACAAAGATTTCAGGCAAATTAGGTCAATTTGTCCCCAGGATGCGACCCACACCAGTGTACTAACACTCAGGTACCTATTTTACTGATAGGTGAACATGCATAACAGGTGTCCTGAGGAAACACGGCCTAATGTTTTCACCCGTATCGGGGATCGACCCCCGGACCTCAGTACAGTGTTTGTGTGTTTACCTGCAGTTACCTGGAGAGAGTTCCGGGGGTCAACGCCCCCGCGGCCCGGTCTGTGACCAGGCCTCCTGGTGGATCAGAGCTTGATCAACCAGGCTGTTACTGCTGGCTGCACGCAAACCAACGTACGAGCCACAGCCCGGCTGGTCAGGAACCGACTTTAGGTGCTTGTCCAGTGCCAGCTTGAAGACTGCCAGAGGTCTGTTGGTAATCCCCCTTATGTATGCTGGGAGGCAGTTGAACAGTCTCGGGCCCCTGACACTTATTGTATGGTCTTTTAACGTGCTAGTGACACCCCTGCTTTTCATTGGGGGGATGTTGCATCGTCTGCCAAGTCTTTTGCTTTCGTAGTGAGTGATTTTCGTGTGCAAGTTCGGTACTAGTCCCTCTAGGATTTTCCAGGTGTATATAATCATGTATCTCTCCCGCCTGCGTTCCAGGGAATACAGGTTAGGAACCTCAAGCGCTCCCAGTAATTGAGGTGTTTTATCTCCGTTATGCGCGCCGTGAAGGTTCTCTGTACATTTTCTAGGTCAGCAATTTCACCTGCCTTGAAAGGTGCTGTTAATGAGCAGCAATATTCCAGCCTAGATAGAACAAGTGACCTGAAGAGTGTCATCATGGGCTTGGCCTCCCTAGTTTTGAAGGTTCTCATTATCCATCCTGTCATTTTTCTAGCAGATGCGATTGATACAATGTTATGGTCCTTGAAGGTGAGATCCTCCAACATGATCACTCCCAGGTCTTTGACGTTGGTGTTTCGCTCTATTTTGTGGCCAGAATTTGTTTTGTACTCTGATGAAGATTTAATTTCCTCGTGTTTACCATATCTGAGTAATTGAAATTTCTCATCGTTGAACTTAATATTGTTTTCTGCAGCCACTGAAAGATTTGGTTGATGTCCGCCTGGGGCCTTGCAGTGTCTGCAATGGAAGACACTGTCATGCAGATTCGGGTGTATCTGCAAAGGAAGACACGGTGCTGTGGCTGACATCCTTGTCTATGTCAGATATGAGGATGAGGAACAAGATGGGAGCGAGTACTGTGCCTTGTGGAACAGAGCTTTTCACCGTAGCTGCCTCGGACTTTACTCTGTTGACGACTACTCTCTGTGTTCTGTTAGTGAGGAAATTATAGATCCATCGACCGACTTTTCCTGTTATTCCTTTAGCACGCATTTTGTGCGCTATTACGCCATGGTCACACTTG